CGTGTGCATTTTTCCTTCGGCGAGGACCATCTAGGAACATCCTTGATCATTTGGCGAAAAAACCACGCACGAAACCAAAAAAAAACAGGGAATGGACGTCCGAGCGATGGCCAGTGATGGCCCCACAAGGGGGCCCGCAGACCTTTCTCCCCAAAGCCGCCTGCACGAGGACATGCCCGACCGAACAGCAGCCCTCGCAGAGTTCCGGCGACGTCTGGTTGAAAAAGAATGGTTGTTGCCCTGTGTTGTTTCTCGATCTCGGCCGGGGGGGCCTGCTGCTAGGTTTGAAAGATGGAACAAGACGGCATAAACATAAACTTTCGGCGCTCCGCGCGGATCTCTTGGATCTGCCTTGGGGCCCCCCTTGCGGCGCCTCCAGCGCCGCCCCTGGCGCGCTCCGCGCGCCAGGGAGGGGGGGGGGTCCAGCACAGATCCAAGAAGTCCGCGCGGAGCGTCGAAGGCTTGTGCATGTGCCGCTTTCTCTCCGCATACAGGTGCTAGGCCCCAGGACCATCGGAAGTGGACCTGGGGCGACGAGCCACCCCCGGGCAGCACACGGTCGGCAGCAGCACCCGCAGGTTTCCGAGGCTACAGTCAGCACGCTGAAACAAGAAACAGCTCGGGTTCGGAAGGGGCTCGCTGTCCTTTCGATCCTTCAATCGTTGCTCCTCCAGCGCTCGTCATGCACCCAGCCGCTTTTGGGACCGAGCCTGGGGCTCGGTTCCTGATTCAGCGTTTCTGATGGCAGTAGCTTGACTGCACCTGTCTTCTGAATCCTGGCGAGTTTTCTTCGGCTTCGGCCACAGGGGGGCCCGTTACCGGATGTAGAGCGAAAGATTGAGTCCGAGGAAGGGGTCGAAAAAAACATATCGTCGGACGTGTCCGTTGGCTCCCGGAGGTTTTCCTGCCTTGGGGTGCGATCCGGCAGCTGCGCCTCGTCGAGAGCACTCCCTGGGTGCTCGAGTTGTTCCGGACGGCCTCTGGAGACCCGAGCCACTGCCCGAAAACCGAGTGGCCCTTCGCCAGAATGACTTGTGGTGCGGACCAGCGTCCCACCCAATTAGTCACCACCTACCAAACCACCCCAACCCAACCCGAAGGCCCGAATTTGCCCTCCATTTCCAGTGGAGGGGGGTCGGGGAACATCGAGAAAACACACATGAAACCCGTACCCCCCCAACCCGAAATTCGGGCCTTCGGGTTGGGTTGGGGTGGTCTGGTAGGTAGTCAATGAGGTGCAACCGCCCGAGCAGGGCACAGCCTCTCGAGGCGTGGGGCGCCGCCGCGCGGCGCCACGGCCGCTCCGCGCGCGCGCGTCGCAAGAAAAAAAGGGCCCACCGATCGCTGAAGGGCGATACGACGGCAGCGGCTTGCGCGCTCGGGCTTGGGGGTTGCCCCGAAAGCCGCACAACCGAGGTCACTCTTGTCTAGGCTCCTCCTCCTCCTCCTCCTCCTCCTCCTCCTCCTCCTCCGTAGCCATTTTGGCTCAAGCCGTTCTGGCCCAGGTGTTTGGGCTTGCTGCAGCTGTCTTCAGAACGGCGCCGCTGCAGCGAGCCAACTTGGCTGATCGTGAGTCGCTCCAAGAGAGCGCAGAATTTCACAACGAGGAAAGTGCAGCGATGGCGCCCGAGCCGCCGCCCCCACCCACGGTGCTCCGTGGGCCGCGGCGGCCCTTTTGGGCGTGCGGGAGGTGCTCAACGGCGGCGAACTGGGCATCTCGCATTCGTTGTCAGTGTGGGAATGAGGCGCCGCTTCGGATCAGGAACGAGGCCTGGAAGGCCCACAAGGCGGCGACAGCTGCTTTGCCTGCTGGTCAGTCGGGGGCGCCTCCTTCGAAGAGCAAAGGCAAGGATGACACCAGCAAGAGGCTCGCGGAGATGGAGAAGCTCATCAGGTCGTTCTGCAGCAAGGGGGAGCCGCCGCCTGCTGCCAGCCCGACAGTGGCTCCGTGGGCCCAGGGTTCCAAGCCGTCGTCGGACATGGGCCCGCTGCTCGAGTCGGACGATGAGAAGGTCAAGCGAGAGAAGCTCACTGCGCTGCTGGGGCAGTACGAAACGGTGCTCAAGAGTCTTCCTGGGCCCGACGCAGACCCCATCCGCGCAGCGACGATCGAGAAGATCAAGAGCATCAGGGAGCAGCAGAAGGCGCTGCGCACGCCTGCGATTGCACATCGCAGGACGGCCCAGGACTTGCACAAGGCCCGCTTGGCCCGTGCAAAGATGGAGGCCGAGATCGCGGAGAAGACCTCGCAGGTGCAGAAGCTGCAAGAGTCCATTTACGAGCGCAGGCTGCAGTTGGAGGCGAAGAAGCTCGAGATCGACAAGCTCGACGAGGAGTACAAGAGGACGGCTGCTCTCATTGCGCAGTCAGACGGGGAGCCGAAGCCGTCGGACCCGTTCAAGCTGGAGATCAAGCCGGAGGAGACACAGGATCCTGATGTTCAGGCTTTCCTCGGGTCGGATAAGTGGGAGATACTCAAGCCGATCATCCTCGCGAAGATCGGGCGGCCCTCGCAAGGGGGGCCCGATCATCCTCCTGATGCTGCTGAGCCTCCTGGCGGCGATGTGGCCGCGGGAGATGACGACATCGACATGGGGCAGCTCAACGGGGACGACTTCGAAGCTCGAGCGGAGGCGTTCCGAGCCGCCGCAGAGGCCCTGCGAGCTGCTGAAGGTGCCGAAGCCCAGGCGGACGCCAAGCGGCAGCTTCTGCAAGCCCAGGAGGCACTTGGGGTCAAGCGCCGCAGGCAGGGGCTTTAGCAAGGCAGCACGGCCACAGCGGGAGCAGCAGCTGTGGAGGCTGTGGACGGTCAACTCGAGTGCATGGAGCTCTTTCCAGGGTTGCTTGGATTGGCAGAGGAGTTGGGGGGACAGTGCTCGGCCCCATGTGTGTTTTGGACAGGAACATCGGTTGAAAGATCTCACCAAAGTTCATCGTGCGGCAGGCTGGCTCCGAGTTCGAGGCTATCACGGGGCCTTCGGCAGGGCGAAGTCCACGGGTCAGCTTGCCACGGAGTCGTCAGGGGGAGTTCTGACGGCAGTCGCGTCCCACATTGCTTTCGCTGGATTGAGCCTCAAGCATCTCGGCGTGCAGTCTGGCTATTTCTCGAGGCTGAAGCTGATTCGTGCCAACTTCGCCTTCCCCCACGGCCTGCTGCTGGGCTCGGTCCACGGCTTTGTGGACGCATCCGACAAGGTTTTCACTTGGGATATGCTGGAGGATTTGGGAGTGTTCCTGCGTCGGTCCAGGTCACCGTGGATTCTCGCAGGGGACTTCAACTTGCCGCCAGAGGACATCAAGCTGTGCAAGTGGGTTGAGCTCCTCAAAGGCACGATCGTGGCCCCAAGTGGTCCGACTTGCTTTGCGTCCAAGTCAGGGTCCACGATCGACTACTACATCGTGAGCCAGGGGCTTGCCAACTTTGTCAGTGATGTACGCGCGGTATACGGTACCCCTTCGTCGCCTCATGTCGCGGTTGCCATGCTGCTCAAGGGCCCGACTCTGAATATACCGCTGCACGTTCGCAGGACATGGAAGCCCCTCCCCACTTCCCAGAGGACGGGGCCTGTGCGGGAGCCTGCAGAGCACTGCTGGTCCTGGCCCGCAGGGGAGCCCGCAGGGGTTCGGCTGGAAGATGCGTGGTGCCAGTGGCTAAGCAACATGGAGCTGGAGCTGCGCAACCAGTTCGACATCGTCGGTGCTGGGCAGAGAGGCTCCGTCGGTCGAGCCGACGGGTTTGAGCGGCGGCAAGTGCCTCTCGCCGTGTCGATGGAGAAGGCGGAGTTTTCGGGCAGTGGGGCTCAGATGCGAGCCTGGAGGTCGCTGGATGCTATCCTATCCAGGTTCCAGGCGCTCCAGGACGACACCGTTGGAGCCAGCGAGGAAGCAGTTGTTCAGCCGTCCTCAACGGGCTCAAGTGGGGCCTGCGCTTGGCGAGAGGAGCACACGGGGGAGTGGCCAGCGGCGCCCAGCGTTGCTGGGCTCAGCACCGAGGGCCCGTCGCTTTCCCTGAGTTCCATGGGCTTTATCCTGCCTGACTACACGTCGCCGCACTCGGGGCCTACGCCGCTGGCTGGCGCTGAGGTCCAATCGTCGACAGACCTGGTTACTGCAGACCCCCTGGGCCGTGAAGGTGGCCAAGGCATTAAACCAGGGGAGCGTCTCAGGGGCCAGGTCGGAGGACAGCATGGTCGCAAGGGACGTGCCCGAGGCGATGCCCGTCTTCACCTGCTGGAGGAGCTGGACTACCTCGACCTGTCGCTGCTGACGGGGGGCAAGAGCGTGGATTTCGACCTGCACTCGCTGCGCAGGGTTGCGGAAGCGGGTGGGGAGGACCTGGCCACCCTTGCGACCAACGTCCACCAAGCGGCGCTGGAGGCGTCCCAGGCGGCGGCAAAGGTACAGCTGCAGGAGTGGAGAGAGTGGGCCCAGTCCGCGGTGAAGGCTGGGGGCCGTCGTGCTCACAGGTACCTGAAGGACTTGCCGCAGGTGAAAGGGCCAGTGGCTCCTGAGGGCTGGGCGCTGCAAGGAGATGCTGCAGCGCAGGCAATGCACATGGATTGGCTGCAGTACTGGGGAGACGCCAAGGAGAGCACCTCACAGATCCAGGCAGCAGTCGCGCAGAGAGAGGAGCTGCCCAGGCCGCCAGCTGAGCGAGTTCGCGCGGTGTGCCGCTCCTTCCCCCACCAGGTGGGCTGCGGGGTGGACTGCGTGAACCCGCGTTCCTTCGACCTGCTCGACGACGACTTCATGGAGAGGCTGGTGGACCTCATGGAGATGCGGGAGGCCGACCCGCAACTCTCGGACAGATGGCCGACTCTGATGGTCTTCTTGGGCAAACCTGACGGCTCAGGTGCAAGGCCGATCGCCCTCATCTGCTCCATCCTCAGGGTCTGGGGCAAGGTGCGGAGAGAGGAGGCCAAGCTCTGGGAGGACCAACACGCTGCTGGAGTCTTCTGGGGAGTGCGAGATCGAGAATGCGATAGAGCTGGCTGGGTGCACCAGACAATGGCGCACTTTGCACGCAGCAGGGGCATGCAGTCAGCTACATTGGCCACGGACTTAGATAAGTTTTACGAGCGTATATGTCACGCAGTTTTGTTCGCAGAGGCGGAGGCGGTGAAGTTCTCGACCAGGCTCTGTAGAGCGGCATGCTCGCTTTACTCGGGGCCGCGTGCGGTGTCCTTCAGCGGTTGCGTCTCAGAGGTCTTCCACGCCTCAGGCACGGTGCTTGCGGGCTGCTCGCTCGCGACGAGCCTGGCGAGAGTCCTGCTGTTTCGCCTGCTCACCACGGTGGAGGGCGAGCACCCGACGTCGATGGTGAGGAATGTGATTGATGACATCAGCGTGCAGTCCGTCGGCACGAGCCTCCACGTCGTCAAGGAGCTGGGCGGCGTCGGGAGCAAGCTGATCGAGGGCCTGCGCAGGCTGCGTCTTGTGCTGTCGGAGACAAAAATCACAGGTCCTTGCTTCATCGAAAGGGGTTGCTGAAGGGCTGGCCAGTGCGTGGAAGGCGTCCTTCAAGAAGAAGGCTGCGATTAGGAGTCTGGGGACCGATTGGCAGGTGAGCTCTTCTAGGTTGGCCCCCATAGCCTCCAACAGGGTCAAGACTTGCATGCGTAGGTCGTCGCGCCTCCGCTCTTTGAGGCGCGCTGGGGCCTATGTGGGGCACATCCAGAGGGCGGGCCCTCAGGCCTCGGCGTTGTGGGGGGCCTCGGTGAGAGGGCTTCCTTGGTCTCAGTTAAAAAGGATCCGCACGCAGGCCCTCTTGTCTCTGGCTCCTGCGAAGCAGGGGGCGTCTGTGGGTTTGAAACTCCGCACGTTTAAGCAGGGTAGGACCATGGATCCCGTGCCGTTGTATTTTAAGCAGGTTGTGTTCGAGTGGGCTCGGGCTGTCTGGGACGGACTCCCCAGCATAACGATCCTACAGGCCGTTTTTGAGGATGCCGTCCGATCGCTTGCCACCACCAGTCGCCCGTGGTCGAGGGCTACGTCCCCTGCGCACGTGTTTGTGATTGCTTGTGGGGACCTGGGATGGGAAGCGAGATCGGCGCGCCTCATAGTGCTTTCGACGGGCGAGCAGATAGACCTGCCCCGGCTCTCGCCGTCGACCGTTGCCACTCTTGCCCAGCAGGCTGCCAGAGAGATGTCGGATTTTCGTGCCCTGGAGGCTCGGGAGGGTTCGTCGTCGCGGTGTCGGCCGGCGTTTTGGCAGCCTCTGGGCTTTTTGTTCGCCAGGAGAAACTCTGACTGGGACAGGGCCCATAAGAATTCCCTCAGGGCGGCTGTCTCGGGGACCCACTGGACCCAGGACCGCCTGCAGCGACGCGGCTTGGCGTCGCGCAACCTATGCAGGCTGTGCATGGGAGCCCCAGGGACCACGTTCCACCGTAGGTTTGTCTGCGAGGCGTGGGCTGCTGATCGCTCCCTCTTCTTGTCGGATGAAGCGTCGGCTGCAGCCGAGCTAATTCGGCAGCGGGGAGACAATGGGGAGTTTTTTGCCTCGGGCATTTTCCCGTCTCCCATGGAGCTGGTTCCCCCGCCGCTTAGGTCCGAAAAGTGTCAGGTCTTCTGGATTCGAAGGCCAGAAGATGGCCTGCTGTCTGGGAAATTGTTTACCGACGGCTCGGCCATTTTCCCCTCGGACCCGCTCCTGGGAAGAGCTGGGTGGGCGGTGATCTCGGTCGATGACACTGGTGCCATGATCTCTGGAGCTTTTGGCCCCGTCCCGTGGGATGTCGCTCCCCTCCAGCTCGCCAAGGACGGCGAGGATTATGCGTATCAGATGCTCGGCCAGATCGCTTTGGACCCCGAGGGTGTTTGGACCGATTGCGCGGCCACGATTTCCTGTGCTCGGTCGAGAGTTCGCTCCACGAGTGCCCGTTGTGGCCAGGCTCACATGTGGACCTCTGTGCATGCGGCCTTCGAGGGTGGGCTTGCGGTCCATAAGACGAAGGCCCACAGCACGGAGGGTGATGTGGAGCGAGGTGTCACCACTCACTGGGAGCGCAAGGCTAACGCCATTGCCGACGCCCTCGCGAAGCGAGGGGCAGGTCAGCATCCATCGGTCGAACAGGCCGCCCGTGAAATCGCTGGTTTAAGACTCTTGGGGTGGGAGTTGGGCCAGTGGGTTGGGCGGCAGGGGCTTCTGATGCGGGAGAGGGGATGGGTGGACTCGGAGGGCCTGCCTGATAAGCGCCTGGTGCCTGGTTCGGGCCCTCGCCAGGGCCGCCCCCTAGAGCGCCCCATTCCCCCCGTGTCTGCGCGGTTCAGGGCTGTGCTTTCTGCCGCTGCCCAGGAGGGGCCGTGTGACCCTGAGCTCAATATTTTGATGAGGCTGTCTCAGCACAACCCGCGTGTGTGCCACGTTTTTGATCAGACGGGAGCCTCCGTTGTCTCCGCCCCACGCATCGTGTGCTGTATTTCGTGTGGGGCTTATGCGTGGGGCGGGGTCAGGGAGCTCGCTGTCCGCGAATGTCACGGTCACAATGCGGGGAAGGGGCTCAAGCAGCAGCGTTCGAGGTTGCTCGCGGGTCTCTTCCCCAGGTGGCTTAGCAAGTACAAAGGCTGGAGGGTGGGCTGTCTCGAGAGGCCCGTCCCAGGAGATCTCCTGGACTTGGCGAGGGCCATTCTCGACCGTCCCCTGGCGAGAGTGTCGCCGCCCGCCTCCAGAGCCGTTTTCCCCAGGGGACCGCCGTGGCAGGTTCCCATGGGGCGAGGGCCCCTCCTCGCCCGCTTCGGCCTCACGGTGGACTCGCTCCCGTACTGGGAGCTGCAGGCCGCCCGTCGGGGTGCGGGGGAGGATGAGGAGTCGGTTTAATCTGTCTCCGTTTTATCTTCGCGGTCGGTTTCTTGGATGCCGTCCGCCCTCGTCTTATCTTACCTCCTCCTCCTCCTCCTCCTCCTCCTCCTCCTCCTCCTCCTCCTCCTCCTCCTCCTCCTCCTCCTCCCCCCCCTCCTCCTCCTCCTCCTCCTCCTCCTCCCTCCTCCTCTCCTCCTCCTCCTCCTCCTCCTCCATTCGTGGCCCTCCCTCCTAGGTGGTGACCTGGCTGGTCCCGTCGCCCCCCCCCCCTGATCGGGAGAGGCCCCTGCCGGGCGGCGAGGTAGCCAGAGCTTTCAGCGGGAGGCAGCCCCCCAGGGGGAAGGGAAGAGGAGTCGGACACGACCATCCGACGATGCGCTCTGTTCAGCGCGCGACGCCAGAGGTCCCGAGCCCTTCCTTGGTGGCAGTTGCTCGAGCATGTACATTACCAGCGGCGAGCTGTGAGAACTTTTTTGAATGTCGGGGACGACGTCGGAATGGTATGGTGTATACTTTAGCTGTCCCCCGGGGAAGCAATGAAAGTTGTATACACCAGGGTCCCCTATACACCAGGATCCGCTGTCTTGTGCGAGTTTCAATGCGGGGCCAGAAAAAGCGTCGGTGTATAGAGTTCGGCTCCTTAGCCTGGGCATCACCTGGGAGCTCGCCAGTCTGCAGCGTCAAAGCGACCTTACCAGTAGCCCTGAGGACCTGCCGACGCGAGGGGAGAGGAGAAGGACCCTCATTAGGGTTGATGTTCCCGCAGATATGCTCGAGGAACAGTCTCGAGGCGTCTACGTTCGGCTGATTTGGCATCCGGAGGCCTGTTTCGGGCCCCCGAGGGTCCATCGATCCGGTCCATCCGCGTCGATACCGATGCTGGCCCGACCCGATTCGATTCCGATATTCCGACGATCCGATGCGGTTCGATGTTCGCATGGCGGTGGTGCGCACAATTGGCGCGACCGATGCGGCTCGATTCCGACTCCATACCGATGCGGAGGCACACATTTCGATTCGATTCCATCTCCCGGCTCGACGTTACTTGACCTTGGCTGGGCCCATTGGAACGATCCAGAGTGGAAAAGTCGTCAGAACGGATTCGGGGAGGGTTCCCGGTACCAAATCTGAACGGGATTGGTCTAGTCATCAGAGTGCAATTTGACGTCCTGTGGAGTTTGTGCCGAAAGCCGATGGCTGGGGACTGGGGCAAGGAATTTGCAGATTGAGCTGCGAAGCTGTTTGCGCGCGTGGAGCAAGACAGAGACAGCAGCAGTGCACTTATCGGCACCACTCCAGCGGAAGAAGAAGGGGATGAGAGGTAGACGTCGGAAGACATAGTAACGTGTCAAAGGGTTGGCAAAGCCGGTACCTGGTGGAAGTCACTCGACTGCATTGCGCAAGGCTACCTCCCATAGACGCCCAAATATTGGCCTCACGGTCCTGAGCTTGCATTCAGCATCCGTCATGTTCTCGACGATATGTGCCCGATTCTTCCTTGCTCGGGCATGCAAAGTCTGCCATCATGGTTCATTCGTCTCTGCTTCCCACTGCGAGACTGTCTTTGCAGCAGCAGCGCCCGCCTGATGAGTCAGAAAGCCTCTGGAGAATTCCCGGGCTGCCTTCCAGGTAAGGAGAAGATGTGACCGAGCGTCTCTTGTTTGCACGCGTACCCTCAGGCGCGGGCTCTGCCATGGGCGGCATGAGCTTCGGCCCCAGTGGAGGCTGCGACGGCGCCGGGAAGGCCATGGGCGGCACGAGTTTCGGCCCTGGCGGAGGCGGCGACGGCGGGGCAGCCATGGGCGGCGCGAGCTTTGGCTCCGGCGGAGGCTGCGACGGCGGTGGCAGGGCCATGGGCGGCATGAGCTTCGGCCCCGGTAGTGGGGGAGGCTGCGACGGCGGTGCCCGGGCCATGGGCGGCATGAGCTTCGGCCCTGGCGGAGGCGGAGGCTCCATGGGCGGCATGAGCTTCGGCCCCGGAGGGGGATGTTGCGATGGGGGTGCGGGGGCCGCGAGTGGCATGAGCTTCGGCCCGGGCGGCATGGGCAGCGTCGGCTCTGCGAACTCAGGCCGGGGCCGTCTCGGCTGTCTCTGCCACCGGTGCTGTTGGTGCCGCTCTCCATATGGGGTCTGACGGTTGCCACACGCGGGAGGAAGGGAGCATAATGGCAGACGGACGTTGGCAAGCCTGGATGGGAATTGTGTGTGAAGCGACAGAGCGGGTGATCTGTATACATTGGATGATGTGTATGTACATATATATATATATATATAACTTCACGTCCTGCATGAGAAAATCCTGGATGGCCCCACACACACCATAAAATCCCAGGACACGTTTCCGACGCCCCCCCCCAGCCGCGGAACACCTTTCGGACGGCTGCTGGGCCTCCCTGGCTAGCCGCCCGCACTCCTCTTGACGCCGCGGACGGCCCCAGGAGCCTTACAACGACTCCCAGGATGGACAAGAGCGCCAAGGACGGCTCCCAAATGGCTCCAAGATGGCCACAACACGACCTAACAGGCTTCCAAGAAGGCGAAAGGAGACCCCCAAGAGGGCCGAGAGAGGCAAACTTCATTGAGTTCCATACGAAGTTTTGAAGGATTTCTGCGTTCTCGCCTTTTCGGGCTTCCCGCAGCCCAAGATGCCCCCCAGGGGCTGCTGAGATCGCCCCAAGGCGGCCCAAGGAGCCTCCGACAGCCCCCACACACAGCCCGAGAGAGCCCCAAGACGGTCCAAGAGGGTTTCAAGAGGGCGTCCGACGGGGCCTCAAGAAGGCCCAGGAGATTTCCAAGACGGATCCAGAGGACCCCACAACGGCCCCAGAGGGCCCAAGAATGCCAAAGAGGGTCCGGCCCCCAAGACGCCCTTGAGGCCTCCTGGAGCCCCCCAAGGTGGCCCATAAAGCCTCCAAGAGACCCCCAAGAGGCTCCCAAGATGCCTCGAAGAGCGTTTCAATAAAGCCCCCAGGGCTCCAAGACGGCCCAGTGACGGACACAGCTTTCACACGGAACAAGAAGTCTTAATGCCAAGGGTCCCAAGAGCAAGCGGTACCATGAGCTCTCTCGGGCAAGTGCGTGAAGCGACACCGTGAATCTTGGCTCATGCAATATTTCGTTGATCAGTGGACGTTCTGTCGCCGCGCGATGTTTTTCCAGCAGCTGCGCCTAGCCGAGGGCGTTTCTGGGGTGCCTGAATCGTCCCGAGCAGACGCCCGAGACCTGAGTTATGGCCCGACGACCACTCCGAGGAGGGATGGTGTGCTCGACCTGCCGCTGCCCGCCCGAAATCTCACAGGCAGCTGCGTCTTACCGAAATGCCAGCATTTTCTCCGGCAACCTGTGCGAAGTTGCATGACCGTGATTCCTTCCTCGTGGTCATCACGCTGATCCCATTCACGGTGTAGATTTGGAACCCCTCACCATCTTGACCAAGACCTTATTCACGGTTACCACCCTTGTCCCCACATGATATGATCATCACAGTTACCGTTTTTGTTCTTGTATTTTTGTCAGCATGTTCGCGGTCATAGTTTGCACTTTTCCCACGGCAATGCCCCTCGGCCTCCACAATTTTCATGATTGCAACCCATCTCGAGGCTATGACCTTCACCCACTCGTGGTCATGATCTTTCCCCGCTCCAGTCGCCTTTGCATGATCTTCGGGAGATGAGGAGAAAGGGCCGTCCCAGTCCGTTTGCATCGAACTCCGTCCCAAAGTTTCCTTTTTCGGACCCGCTGTTTGCCCAGCCCGACTTTGGGGCGCCCAATTTCTTTCCTGCTCCCCCCCCCCGCCCTGCTCTTAGTAGCGTCCCACGTCTCCATCTTTCAACAGGTGCCCGAAAGTACACGTAAAGGTACACGAGCGCAGGGCCAATAGTTGAGGCGAGGCGAAGAGAGCCCTCAAATCTTGCGCATCTGTACATCGAGCGAGAGAGAGAGAGAGGGAGAGACAGAGGGAATTGCAATACAAGCTTGCACCGCGCTTCCAAAAGTCACGTTGTTCAGGATCACCTCTTTTGTGCAGCGTGCTTGCCTCAGGTCTTATGTCCAATGGCAGCAACAGCTTCGGCCCTGGCGGCATGGGCATGGGAGGCATGGGTGGCATGGGCGGCATGGGCGGCATGTGCGGCGGCATGGGCGGCATGGGCAACCCTATGATGGGGGGCATGGGCCGCATGATGGGCGGCATGTGCGGCGGCGGCATGGGAGGCATGTGTGGAGGCATGGGCGGCGGCATGATGGGAGGCATGGGGAGCACCGAGCAGCAGTTCCTCCAGGCTCGGAAGCGGCAACTAGTTGTACACCACCATCCTTGGCCAGGGCCGTCCTGGCACCGGGGTCGGTGTGTAGACGGTCCTGGTCACCACCGGGAGGGGTCGACACACCGACCTCGGGCACAGCAGAGCTCGGCCTGAACGGTGTGTTTGGGCGATTTCGTGAGCCGCGCTCGGTTCGACCTCGTTCTACAGCAAGAGAAGGCGGAGCGGAGACAAGAGGAGGAACGGCGAAAACGAACCGAGCACGAAGAGCACTGTGTTAGGCCGAGCCCTGGGGCACGGCACGGCCCTGTCCAGGGGCGGTGGTGGTGTGTCAGCTGCCTCCTGGGGGCCCAGGCGCTGAACTCGAGCGGCATCGGCAGCGCGCAGCTCACGCTGCTGCTGCCCCAGCCCCTGGTGCAGAACGTCCTCGTGCCGAGGCCGGGAGCGCCAGAAGGGCTCGCCGCACAATAGAGGAGGAGGAGGAGGAGGAGGAGGAGGAGGAGGAGGAGGAGGAGGAGGAGGAGGAGGAGGAGGAGGAGAAGGGGGGGGGGGCTGGAGGCTGCAAGTGACTCCGCGACTGCTTTCACAGACACGGGCCGACAAACGCATCATGCAAAAACGCGGTGCAGGGTACCGGAGCTGCCCCTTGGCGTCGGACGACTCGCGGCCCAACCGAACCGACATGGTGCATTGGGGTCCTCGCCCCCCTGAACGAGGACACCCGTCGGAACGATTGGCATTGCGCACTGAGGCCTGCCCGAAGGCCCCAGCCGTGAGTGGGCACAAGGCCCGATCGGATTTACGTGGCTCATGCCACCACCTCTCACGGAAAATGCGAATCCCTGGGGGCCAGACCACTTGGGAATAGCCACCCAGGCGCCGCTGCACGCCGCCACCAGCAGGGCAAGGCTGAGACCGAGGGCCGTGCTACACCCAACGACGAGACCCCGCCGATACAGGTTTCGCAACGTCCACCCCCAGCCCCAGTGCCGCCCGCTGAGTTCCGCACAGGGACCGAGGGCCGTGCTACACCCAACGACGGAAGCCTTGCGGCCCCCGCCGATACAGGTTTCACAACGTCCACCCTCAGCCCCCGTGGACAAAAACGACCGGTAGCCGCTCACCCTGACCGCGGATGCAATGCCATGGATGGTCTGCCCCGAGGGAGGTGTGGCGCTGGACACCATGAAAATTGGTGCCAGGCCACACCCTCGGGGGGGAGGAGGAGAAGGGGGAGGAGGAGGAGGAGGAGGAGGAGGAGGAGGAGGAGGAGGGAGGAGGAGGAGGAGGAGGAGGAGGAGGGGAGGAGGAGCAGGAGGAGGAGGAGGAGGAGGAGGGAGGAGGAGGAGGAGGAGGAGGAGGAGGAGGAGGAGGAGGAGAGGGGAGGGAGGAGGAGGAGGAGGAAGAGGAGGAGGAGGAGGAGGAGGAGGAGAAAGAAGAGGAGGAGAATGAGGAGGGAGGAGGAGGAGGAGGAGGTGGAGGAGGAGGAGGAGGAGGAGGAGGAGGAGGAACTCCTCCCCGTTTCTTGGGACGCTCGTCCCACGGCGGCGGGAAAGATTATCCCCTTGCGGCGGCACGAGGGGTGTATGAGCTCCCCGGCCGCCCTGGAACAGGCATCCCGGGCAGCGTGTAAAATTAGGCTGTACCGTCGTTCGGCCGTCCGCCGCCGCTGCTGCTGCTGCGCAGTGCTCCTCCTCTTGCAGTCACCGTCAGGGGCGCTCGAAGAAGGGCTTCGCCTTCGAGGGATCGAGAAGTTGGTCATCTCGGCCTCGGCTGAGACAGGCGGAGGAGACCCGCTGAAACGAATGCTCGGCTGCTCCGCTTGCAGAAGTGAAACACTGCTACGAGGAATGTTAACACTGCTAGGTTCAGGGTTTCCAGAGCGGGCCGTTGAGCAGCATTGCATCCTCCTCCTCCTCCTCCGCCTCCTCCCTTGTGGCGAGGATCCAGCGTTCCCGTCGAGGAGCCTGGTGCTCTAAGGCTGGCGGCCTCGGATTGCTCTCGAGAGAAGTTCTGACTGGCGATCGTCGCCTCGGCATTCTGACGCCGTCGTGCGGGGTGCCCGCGCGGCCGTCTGATCTAAACGAGGCGGGCGTGTCAGCGTGCTTGTGCGTCTGGGCGCCATCTACAAAGCTTCCACTGGCCGCGTCGGAGGGGCGAGCGCGCGCGTGAAGCGTACGGGTGCCTTGTTCCAGGGATTCGTGAGCTTCGAGTGGAGAGCATTCGACATCCGTCCGCTCGACGCTTGCGTTTGCGCACCCCATCGGCGTCCCACGCTGCCGGGACTCGGCGCCAGAGGGGGGCAAGAAGCGGTTGTGTATGCTCAGGAGGGAAAGAAGCACGGACACCATGACTCGTCGATGCTCTGGAAAAGGAGGGAACATTCTGGAAGTGTGGGGGGGGGGGAAGACGAAGACCCAGAGACTATGGGAAAATATGGGGGACCCTGTTGTTTGTGTCTGTTTATTTGTGTGCCCCTGGGTCCCTTCACGTGCGTGTGTCCGCGCTCCCACGACACGCTGGTACATTCACTTGAGCGCGCCTTTCGTGTGCGGCGGGTGCCCCCGAAGCGGCGGCCGCCCTCCCCCGTGGCGCGCGGTCGCACGGCGTCGCGGCCCAGCCCGGGTGCCCCGCAGTTCTCGCGCGGCAGACTTACCTGCCTGCAACATATCCCTATCCCTATGCTGGGCACCTCCTCATCACGATGCCAATCTTAGGGGTTCCCTTTTTTTGTTGAGGGCGGATCCCTAAGATTGTCATCGCCTTTTGGCGTGCCAATCTTAGGGATAGGGGCACGCTCGAGGCCGGCAACAGACCCGCGTCGTGTGGGCGCGGCGCCGGCCTCCCCCGCGGGAGCGCCGCACGTGGCCCTGATGGGCGCCAAAGAGAAGCAGTTTTTTGTTTTTGATGCGCGGGTCGAGAGCGCACCTCTTCCGGTCGGAGCTAAGCGGGCCGAGGAGGGCGACACTGAGGCGAAGGGCCGCGTGGTGCCACCGTACAGGTGGCCGGGGCGAGTGCCACAGGGCCGTGGTGGTGCATGGTGCCACAGGTCCAGGGTACGGGAGCCGCAGTGGCGCAAGAGAGGCAGAACAGCACCAAAAAGCGCAGTGCAGCGATCTGCCGAGCGGAAAGCCGCCGATCGTGCAGGGCTGAGCGACCCACACGGCGTCAGAGCCCGACGCCACGGTCGTCACGACACGAACACACCGTGACTTTGTCCACAGGTTGCGGTGCTCTGGCGCGTCGCCGAGGGTCACGGGTCGAGAGCGCAGTCTGGCACCCGAGAGCCTCTGCCAACCGCTCCTTTTTCGGGCAGCTCTTCGGACTCTTCCCCTCTTGTGCAGGGAAGAAGACCAGGAAGCTGAGGAGGAGGAGGACGAAGAAGAAGAGGGGCAGGAGGCGACGACGCAGGGGAGGAGGAGGAGGAGGAGGAGGAGGAGGAGGAGGAGGATAAGGAGGAGGGGAGGAGGAGGAGGAGGAGGAGGAGGAGGAGGAGGAGGAGGAGGAGGAGGAGGAGGAGGAGGAGGAGGAGGAGGAGGACCAGTGTAAACCCAAGACGCATCAACAATGTTGCGATACACCTTGCCTACAAGTTCCCCCTTCATAGGTCCAGTACCCCATTGGAAGACAGCCGTCGGATAATCTTCGGCTGCGCCAAAGCGCACTTCCTGGGACTTCGGCGCGTCGAATCCTAGTGACTGTTGCGACCTAGCAATCCTAATTGCGCCAGAACACCTTTCCCTGGGACTTCAACACCGCCGATCAACATGGCTGTTGCGCTCTTGCAATCAGAAGTCGTGCCAGAACATCGCTCCTAGTACCTCAACAGACAGATCCCTTGAACTTGCTGCAAATGTTCAAAACGAATGCGCGCGGCGCTAAGGCGAGAATCTGAGTTTGAAAAAGAACTGCCCTGCACCTGTGAAACAGTTGTGAACTTCGAGACGGATGCGTGCAGCGCTAAGGCGAGACCCACATGTTGCAAAACAAAACGCCTTCCGTCCTCGAGACCGCTGCAAACTTTTAGGAAGAATGTGCGGGGCGCTAAGGCGAGGGCAATATTTTGAAAACGGCCCGCCCTGCACGAAACCGTTGCCAATCTCAAGCCTCAGCGTCACAAGGTGGTGGGGAATCTCCGGCGAAACGCCCAGCCCGCCCTGCCGACACGCACTGGGGTGCGACAGGGGGGATTCACCCGAAGGCAGCGGGATGCACGAGGGGAGGGGCGCGACGACGCCGGGGCCGCCACGACGCGAACCCGCCGTGGGCACGCGCCCCATCCGCGCGCCCATCCGTGACCCGTCGGGGAGGGGCGCCCCGCGCGGGCGGCGCGTCGGCCCCCCGCGAGAGGCTCCGCGGGCGGCGCGCCCTCCCGCGGCGCCGAGGCCGTGCAGGTCGCCCGCCGATGGCGACGCAGAGGGCCGTGCCCCGCGCGCCGCGGCCTGGGCCGTGGGCGGCTGCCCTGCTCAAATCCCTCGTGGGCGGAAGACGCACGTCCGCATCCGCGGCCTCGCGGGCTGGGGGTCCTCTCTTCCTCCTCCTCCTCCTCCTCCTCCTCCTCCTCCTCCTCCTCCTCCTCCTCCTCCTCCTCCTCTCTCCTCCCTCCTCCTCACCTCCTCCTCCTCCTCCTCCCCCCCTCCTCCCCCCTCCTCCTCCTCCTCCTCCTCCCGTACTTCTCCTGCCCCTCCCGGAGGATGGCCCGCGCCACGACCCCGCGGGCCCGCGGCGTTCTGCTTCGCGGAGGCCCCGCGCGCGGCGTGTCCGTGCGACCGCGTACTTGTCCGCGAGGGCGCGCCCCAGGAGTGTGGCCACGAAGGCGCGGAGACGGAGATGGTCGCCGCCCGCGATTCCCAGGGGGGCGGCGCGAGCCTGGGCACAGCAGAGGACCACAACCACCACGATTTTTCGGGAGGGCCCCTCGCGGAAGGACCCACCGACCTCGACACGAACAGCTTGGTCGTGGTCGTGGTCGATTTGGCTGTCCTGGACGCCCACATCGACCCCGACCAGCACTGAGCCGGTTTTGGTGTTTTTTAGCGATTGCAGGCGTGCGCAAGGTATCCCCAAGGGCGTGTCCTCGATGTGCCTGTGGTCGCTTGCTGCGTCCGCGGCGAGGGCGCGAACATCGCCTCGTGCATCCGGGGTGGACCTCAACGGTGTCTGGGCGATTTCGTGGGCCGTCTTCGCTTCGACCCTGTTGTTTTGCGGTGCAGGCGGATTGAAGCCAAAACACGAAGGAAAACGAAAACAAAAAACGAAAACGAAGCACACCGTTGAGGCTCGGCCCTGTCGTGCATCGCGGTGCGCGATGCTCGGGTCGGGCGAAAGGGGGGGATAGCAAAGGGGGGGGGGTGAGAATCAGCTCACGTAGCTGATTTTCCTGGCGCCTCCCGGCGCCGGAGGCGGCCATGCATCGAGGAAGGGGCCCCTGGGTGAG